TGTTTGTTGTTCTCCTCCTTCCTCTCTTTCTCCTCCTCCCACCAAAGTTCTGCTTCAACATGTTCATTAACAATAAATAGTTCACTTTCTCCCTATTTTGTCACGTCATCTTCTTGCCAAAAGAGCTAAAGAGAATCCTGACCATTCATGTGACAGAAAGACATGGGGAGAGAGGGAGAGAGGGAGAGAGGGAGAGAGGGAGAGAGGGAGAGGGAGAGGGAGAGCGAGAGAGAGAGAGAGAGAGAGACAGACATCAAGAAAAAAAGGAAATTAAGACAGGAATGGAAAACATGATGATGATCAGATGTCTGTAACTCCAACAAGCCCTTGTCACTAGCCATGTTAGTTAGTGATAACAGAAATTGAGTCTTAAAACATAATGGTCCCTAAAAATTTAGGAAATACACTTTTCCAATTCCAAAATGGGTGGGATGATAAATTTTAGCCAGCATCCTTTTCCTGATGATCATCATACATTTCAGCTGGGATACAATTAACCTTATAGTCACCTCCACTTGTCCAAGAATTAAAGACATTAAGCTAATATTTATTCTTCCTCAGTTACTGGCTGAAGTATGCTTTCACCCTAATCGCTTAAATAGTGGGAAAGCTGTGATATTTTTTTTAAAAGGAGGACTTTAATCAAAGGTATCAACAACAACCCCCCAAGCTCTGCAATTAATCCCCTATTATCCCCAAACTTCCCAATTTAAACTTTAAAAGTTATTACTTCCTTCAATTGGCTTAGGAAAACATCTTTGGATGCAACATTCAGATAAATGAATTATAAAATTCGTTATAACAATAATGGACATGAAAAATAAGTCTTTTGTGTCACTAACAGATTAATCAACAACGATGTTTTTGAAGCAAATGTATCGTGAAGCTGCAAAAAAAAGGAGAAAATCTATTTAAAAAGCATACAGATGTTCCTCTGATTCTGCCGACTTCTGAGCCATTTCACATATGTTGCTTGCAATGAAGCAACTTGTGATATGCAAAACACAAAACTATGTCTATTCAGCTGCCAGGTTTTTCAAAACAAGAAAGGGCAAGCTGTAATATATTTGCTATCTTTTTAGTGGGGGGGGGGGGGTGCCACTACCACCTAAGCAAACTGCAGAATGTTTTTCTTTAATTCAAGAAGAGGCAAGCTGAAATTTGCTCTACGACAAAAGAAGGTGACTCCAAGGGCAAGCAGTTTGTGCTACAAATTTCAAACCTATTCCCTCCAGTTGTTGCATGTAATGAAGCTCAAATCCATTCAGTAAATTACTCACCGGAATAAATGCGTAGGGAAATGTCCCCCGAAAGAAAAATCAGACAGAAAAAAAGTATTTGCCTCTTTCACCTTATCATTGGTACCAGGGGTGGGTTTCTCGCTCCGTTCCAACCGGTTCAGTTGGAACGGGGCCGGCGGCGTCCTCGTGCACGCGCGTGGCGCACGCATGCATACTAGCATCTGTGCAATGCTCCAGCTGCTCCTGGAGGATCGCGCAGGTGCTGTGCGCATGCGTAGAAGCGCAGAACTCGTCAAAACCGGGTAAGGAGCGCGGGCGGGCCAGTCACCGTTCCCGGAAGTTACTTACTTCCGGGTTCGCCGACCAACCGGTTCGCAGGGACCGCCGCGAACCGGTTGAAACCCACCCCTGATTGGTACTAACTATTGTTTAAAATGTTAATATTAGTTACAATTACCTTCAGCCTCATTTTATAAATAATACAGTAATGAATATCTAAGATAACTATGATACCTATCCTAAAGGGGTATTTTAAAATCACACACCTATATATTTATGCACGAATAGTATTTGTTAATTATTAAAGCTTTCCAGCTATGATAAAATACATGTCGAAAACACATGTAAGATGCACTTGTGCTACATATGATAAAGATGCATTATTCAGTCTTTATAAATGTGTGAGTCGTTCTACAGCAGATTTCTCCCTAAACTTACCAGAGAAAATATATGAATTCAAAGAAAGGGAAAGAGCAGGGAGAGAATGTAAATTGCTTGTATTGTGATTGTTTCTGACTTGGTACACTAACACTGGCGATACATCTCTCTAGTTTTCAATGCAGTAATATATTTTTTTCTAGAATTTTCAGTCTTGCTTTAATTTCAACTAGAACCCTATTTATTCTAATGTCAATGGACAAAGGTTAAATGTTTCCTTAGCTTTGGAATATAAAAATATTCCGTATTCAACTCCAGCTACTGTCTTCTGTTTGTCAAATGAATCAGGCCAATAGAGTTCCAATATCAAATTAAGATAAAAAAAATATTAATGGGTTTCATAAGGCCTCTTAACAGATACCATGACCGAAAACAGCCCAGGACCGAAAACAGTGGCGCCTTCACGATGGGTGAAGAGGCGTCAAGTACAAGTAAGTACAAGTACAGATACCATGTTTCCCTGGAAATAAGACCGGGTCTTATAGTTTTTGGACTGCCAAAAAGGCCAAAGGTCTTAGTTTTGGGGGGGGTCTGTTTCCCCCTCCCCCATTTTTCCCATATCGGAAAGGGTGGGGGCGGTGAGCTGCCCCTCCCGCTTAGCCCCTGCATGGCCTCAC